CTTTCCAGTCTTAGAAAATTTCTTTCAAATCTGGAAAGTTGGAATGGATGCTAAGTACTAATTTCCTATATCCAACACACCAAGTTCCCTCATGTTAGGATTCTTTCCCCATGTCACAAATTTTTTTGTAATAGGCAAAAGAAGAAAATACCATGAAGAAAAATGAAAATAACTTAGCAAAAAGGATTTGGAAATGGGTGAGAAAACAAAAATGAGAGATTTTAAGATATTACAACTGAAAATATTTGAAGAAAGTGAAACAATATAAATTAAGAGGCATTCTAGAAAGTTAACAAGCCAAAAGAGAAAGTTCTGTAAGATGTTTCTTTTCATTTACTGGCATTCTATTATTTTCCTTTGGGTAAAATCTCATCACAGGGACAAAATTTGACCTTTTAACTTTAATTACCAATGAGAGCTGATTTGAGTTTGAGAAATATTGAGGATAAAATATGACAACATTTCTGTAACTGTATAACTCAAAGATGAAAAAAAACCTTAGTTTTTTTTTATCTGCCTCTACTATAGCTAAATGATTATCCAGTCCATGCTTGATTTATTTAAATGTTTACTAAATGATTTCTATATGCTAAGCACTGTATCGGGTTACGAGGACACAAATGTGAAGACAGATCTAGCTAGTCTATACCTCATGGAAGTATATTCAAGTGTAGGAAACAGACAAGAAAAGTAAAAGAAGGCAAGTAAAATTAAAACGAGAAAAATGGGTACTTCTAGTAAAGAAAGAATGAATAAGAATTGAGAATTACTTTAGATAGAGTGGTCAGGGAGTTGATGGCAGATCATTTTTTCAGTGGTGAGAAATCATGGTTTCTAAAGGTATTCCGTTCCTGGGAAAAACAGTGTGGGAGTTCAAGATACCAAAGTCCAGAATGGCTTAAGCAGATTATAACAGAGTGTGTCATGGGGTGAGTGAGACTGGAGATGGCCTTAAGTACATTAAGAAGTATACACTTACTGAAAAACTACTTGAGTTGAAAATCTTAAATTTGGTTCGAATTTTATAAGAACCATTCTTATTGTGTCATAAACTTGAGAGATGCATATTTTTTGTAATACAGGTGAGAACTGACTCAGGCTTGAGCCTAGAGTGGTGCCAGTGGAACTGGAGGGGAAGTGGATTGATTTGAGATGTATGTAGAAGGTGGGATTTAATGATTTGCTGCAAGTAAAGTGTAAGGGGAAAAAGTAGTCAAGAATGATACCCAGGTTTTTGATATAAGAAACTGAGAGGACAGTGGTGCCATTTGTTGGTTGATTGGCTGTAGTTTGTTGTATGTCTATTAGACCTCAATAGAAAAAACTGTAAAAAAATTAAAAAATAAAAAGAAGATGCTATCAGGAGTAATCAGGGTTATGCCAGTGATACAGCAGGTAAAGTGACTGACAGTGCCTTGAGAGGAGATACATACTTGATGACAGGGCACCATTTAGGCAATTGAGTAGGTGAGGCATGTGTGATAAAGTGAAACATACGCATTTTTAATCTGAATGGTAATAAAAATCTGCTTCTGCAAAATTTGAGTATTTTTCCCAAGCCAAGGATGCACCTCGTGAAAAACGTCTGTGACAATAAGAAACAGAAAAAAAAAAGACAAAAATTGCTGAAGAGTGGAACTGTGAGTAGATGGGCTCAGACAAGAATGCAGGAACCAGAGCAAGTGGGTTCTTCTAGAATCTGGAGTAGTGTCATTTACAGGGTTTTTTTTTTTTAAAAAAATCCTGTAAATACATAATTTTTTTTAAAAAAGAACAAAATACAAAACAAAAAAATCTGGAGAACAAATTTAGAGGAGAGGATTTTGAGCATGGTAAATCTGAAGGACCTGTGGGGCAATCCAAGTGAAGTCACCCAGGAGGCTGTATGTGTATGTATGACACTGGCACTTGGGAGAAAGGTCCAGCTGGTACATGGATGTAGTAATTAAAGCCATGGGGGTTGAAATTGGCAGGTGTAGAGAATGACGAATGTGCCTAGGACAGAGCCCTAAGGGACCCAGCAAATTTCAGTAAGTGATAAGAGGAGAAGCCAAAACCAAAGGAGAAAAAGCAGGAGAGGGTGTGTGTGTCTTGGAAGCCAATGGAGGAGATAGATAGACAACACTCAATTTAAGAAAAATATGTATGTCAGATGGTGATAACTATGCAGAGACGTTAAACAGGTTAAACAGGGCAATAGGAAAGCTGGGTGGGGAGAGCACACTGCTTTGTTTTTATATGGAGGAACAAGTGCAGGCTTCATTCACCTTTTTTTTTTTTTACTATATCAAAGCAAAATTTATTGTGTAATAGCAGGGAACAATGTTATGCTTCACACCAACAGGAGATTCAGCTGCTGAGTGGAACAGTGTTTAGTAGTTGGTGGGGGAGAAGGTGGGATGGAGAGCACACGTCCTTATTAGCATATGCCCAGATTCCCTTTTTTTAAAGTATAGTCAGTTATAATGTGTCAATTTCTGGTGTACAGCATAATGTTCCAGTCATGCATATATACACACATATTTGTTTTCTTATTTTTTCATTGAATGTTATTACAAGACATTGGATATAGTTTCCTGTGCTATACAGAAGAAAGTTTTTTAATCTGTCTTTATACACAGTGGTTAACATTTGAAAATCTCAAACTCTCAAATTTATCCCTTCCCACCCGATTTCCCCTGGTAACCATAAGATTGTTTACTATGTCTGCAAGTCTGCTTCTGTTTTGCAGATGAATTCATTAGTGTCTTCTTGTTTCTTTTCCCTTTAAAAAAAAGAATTCTACACATGAGTTATATCTTATGGTATTTTTCTTTCTCTTTCTGGCTTACTTCACTTAGCATGATGATCTCCAGGTCCATCCATGTTGCTGCAAATGGCATTATTTTATTCTTTTTTATGGCTGAGTAGTATTCCATTGTATAAATATACAACTTTTTTATCCAATCATCTGTTGATGGACATTTAGTTTGTTTCCATGTCTTGGCTATTGTATATAGTGCTGCTATGAACATTGGGGTGTATGCATCTTTTTGAATTAGAGTTCCCTCTGGATACACACCCAGGAGTGGGATTGCTGGATCATATGGTAAGTCTATTTAAAGTTTTTTGAGGAATCTCCATACTGTTCTTCATAATGGCTGCACAAAACCACATTCCCACCAGCATATAGGAGAGTTCCCCTCACATTTGAGTAGAAATGTGTAGAAGGGTTAGTCAAATGTGATGGGAAAATATACAGAAGTAATGTTCTTGAAGAGTAAATGACTTGGAGAAAAATTTTATATAGTATTATGAGAAATTCGAAAAGTAATTTCCAGAAAGAAATACCCTGTTCTTAGGACATCTCTGCACGGTGGGATAATGGGTAACACTTACCATATTTTGCTTAAAATTTCTGCAGAAATGTTTTAATTTAAAAAGTGAAATAGCTTTATTTTTCTGTTAACATGAACATGCTAAAGAAAGATAAAGAGGTAAATAAAGAATTATCCAGAAAGCTACCACTCAGATGTAAGTTCTGTTAACATTGCAATATCAAATACTTTTCTACATTTTCCAGAAAGATGGAGAGACAAACGTATACAGAACAAAAAAAAGTAAACATTACTATATTTGCTGTTAACTGGCATTTTTCCTTTTTACATGTCATAAGTTCCTTTCCCTTATCAGTATAGATATAACTCTTTTTAATGATTACATGTTAATATATTTAACTAAGTCCTTATAACTGGACATAAACATTGTTTCCAATTTTCCAAGTTTTTCATACTTTCTTATTGTTTTTCCAGGATAAATTTCCAGAAATGAAATAGTTGGTTTTAATAAGAACTACTAAGCTACTTTCAAGAAATGTGAATAAGTTACTCACATTGAATGAATGCATTGATCATGTCTTCACTATTGTATTATTTGCTCCATTTCAAACCTCTTGGACCCTATTTTCTTTATGTTTAACAGATGGTTGATGATGGTAATAATTTTTTTTCTTTCTTATCTTACTGAGTTGAGGTTTAAAGATAGTAATACTATAGAAAGATTTTATAAGTCATAAAGCAGTGTGTCCATTTTAGCAATCACAGCAGGTATATTATGCAAACTGAATATTTGTAGTTCTTATTTAAGAGAAAATGTAGAAGTCCAGTTAAACTTTTCACAAGCCAAAAAGCTCTTAAACTTCCAAGTTGATTTTCATTCAACATTTTATTACTATAAAACATTTAGCATATAATAGCTGAGTAAAAAGACAGTTTGCGACCTAAAGGCTCAGTGTCGGTAAACTAGCCGTTGTGTTAGGCAGCATGTCTCAAAATGTATAGCCTTCCTATATTGCTGTAGACTGAATTGTGTCTCCCCAGAATTCAGGTATTGAAGGTCTAACCTCAGTATGGCTGCATTTGGAATAAGGAAGTAATTAAAGTTAAATGAGGTCATAAGGGTAGAACCCTAATCCAACAGGATTTGTGTCCTCATAGGGAGATGCCAGAAAGAACTTTCTCTTTCCCACTCCTGCACCTTGCCCTTCCCCAACCCCCCAAATCACGTGAGACGAGAAGGCAGCAGCCTACAAGCCAGGGAGAGCCCTCATTGGAAACAGAATCTGTTGGCATCTTGATCTTGACTTCTCAGTCCAGGACACTGAGAAATGAATTTATGTTGTGTAAGCCACCCAATCTATAGTATTTTGTTATGGGAGCTCACACAGACTAAGAAATATGTCATATCTTTTTTATCATTATGATAGACTTTAGGATGAGAGGCTCAAAATTGCCAATTAATTAAAACTGAAGCCCAATTCCCTTCAGCTGTGTATGTAACCCTGCTTTGGTAACTTGTGACCCTTGAAATATATCTTTTTTGGCACATAGATTTATACCATCATTTAGTCTTGTTGAGAGTTCTTTGAAATTAACATTTGGGACAGGTATTCTAGATTTCAAGTTGTTCTGTTTCATACTGGAAACATTCTTTTCTTGTTGTCCCAGAAAGGACAAGACAATGGCTGCTAGTAATCTAGGGTTTCTGCTCAGTGCCAACAGAATGGAATACAGCAGAGTCAGCTGAGTGGTTCACGGCAACCACGTACAAGTCCTTCAGAACCTTTGTAGTGACCCTCAATTCTGTGGGAGTCATCAGAGTTGCACCCTTGCAAAAGAAGCCAGAATTCTTAGGTCTCATTAATGGAAATGTGGCTTCCCAAACTCGAGTTGGAAAAATACTGAACAAGAAACATGGTGAATGAATTAGTCCATATTGTTTATTTTTCTGCATTTGTGTTTGTTTACTAAAATCAGTAATCCCCAAATCAAAACTAATGGCTCTTTCATGCCCATATGCAGAGAAACAAAAAAAACTGGGTCACCTGACACACAATCCTAGATGAAGTGGAACAAGGTAACACCCCATCTTGTCTCAGCTCTCATACTGTAAACAAGTACCTTTTCTGGGATATACTTAGTGTGCTTTTTGCATTTTTGTGCTTTTTATGGGTGATTTTGCTGTTTAAAATGGTCCCTAAGTATTGTGCTATGTTTATTATTAAGTACCTTACAGAGAAAATATGTTAGGTAAGATTCACTCAGGCCATGAGTTATAGTTCTGTTGGCCATGAGTTTGACATTAGTGAATCACCAACAGACATTAAACAAGATACCGTAAAACAAGGTTATGTATTGATCAGTTGGTGATAATAATGTGACCAGAGTCTTGCAGGAACCTAATTCTGTATTTCTCCTAAGGACAATGATACTTGGAGAGACTCTGTAGAACATAATTGCTACCAGTAACAAAAATCAGATACAGATAGGTAGTAGTGAACTACAAAATTAGAATCTATAATGGAACAACGTGTGCCATTACAGATTTTTTAATAGTTTGCAAACTGTAAGTTTTTTAAAAAATCTAGTACAAAGATAAAAGCTCCTCCTACTTATTATTCAACTGGAAGTATAGAGTTGACTGTAGTGAACTGTTTTCAAGATTTAATTCAATTGGAACTAAAAACCTAAATATTCCATTCCTCTTAAATACCTACCCACCAAATATAACTGTGTCCCTTAGGGTTTAACCACCTTTCCTTTTTTTCTTCTATTTCCTATTATTATTTCCAGGGTGACTTCTGATGACCTCAAATACCACCTTCAAATCAGAAAACTAAAACTGCAATTTCCAATTTTCACACCTCTCCTGGCTCGGGACTTGAATTTCTAAATACCTGTGTGACTTATCCACAAATGTCCCTATCACAAACCATGCTCAACATGTTACAAACAAAACTTATTTTTCCCCTCCATGAGCCATTGTTTTCTGCATATGTACAGTATCTGAAGTAACGAGTTTTCTTCCTTATTACATAAAGTTTATCCTCACCACAATCTTGTAGGTAGGCGCTGCAGGATGGATGAAAGGCAGGATTATACAGATGACATAAATTAGTCCTGAAATCAGATTTGGTTCTGATGCTTACTGCGTGGTCTTAAGCCAATTACATTTTTTTTGAGCCTCACTTTCACGGTAAGTATATACAGCATAGGTTTTATTATTGTGGCTCTTGAAAGTGTGGTAGGTACCCAGTCTGGCAGCACCAACAATCCATGGGGACTTGTGAGAAACACAGAATCTCATTTTTACCCTAAATTTGATGAATCAGTATCTTTATCTTAATATGCTCTTCAGGAAATCGGTTAGCATATATTCAAATTTGAGCAGCACGAGTCTTGCTAACACAAATGTGTTATCACCTTCGGTAGAGTAGATCATTGAAGAATCAAAACAGTCCTGTCTGTAACTTAGTAGAGCTACTGTTCCAATTACTGCCAATGCTCCTATTTATCCCCCTGTTACCAATCAGATAGTTAATTCAGGCCCTTTATAGCTGCTGTAGGTGGATCTTTCATTTTATCCAGAAACCTTGAAATAACGAATTTAAATCTACTCCATGGTTATTTTATTCACTAGAGAAAGGCTCATTCTTTCTTTACCATTTTAAGTTGCACTCCTTCAACATTTTCAAATTTGAATTGTTCAACCTGAAGTTTCCCTTGTGTCTCATCTTTAAAAATTTGCAAGACAGGAGAGAAACAGAAGTAACAGTTTTCATCTGAAATATTTGGAAAATGTGATCAAATCTTTGATTCAACAGGGATGTTGCAATAGCTTACACTTCAGTCACAGAATCTCTCAGATAATACTGCTTAAGCAAACTTGTTTCTAGATTCTATTACTATTTAACATTTTTTAAGCATTATAATGTACAATGTATTGTGTGAATTGAGAACACCTATAGGAGCTTAATAATACATTTTATAATCTAATCCCATGCTGCTTTTAACCTGAGATACCACATTTCTAGCAAGTTCCCAGGCAATGTGAGGCTTTTCTGAGGCCCATACGTTTCAATAAAAAAGACTGTAGAGGAAGAAGTATTATGTAGAGGTCTGAGGAAGGGAGAACAAAAAAGGGGTAGTGGGGGTGGGGAGAGAGGAGGGCAGTTGGTGGTGGTGAGAGAGAGAAATTGGCTTCTCCCTCTTGGAGAGTTAACTGTTAGCTGCTTAGAATACATTATGGTAAAACTCAGTTGGGAAAAATCTGGCACCGAGAAGTTAACTGTGGTGCTAAGAACAGCTTATATTGAAGTAAACCCACTACTTACAATTGGAAGGTAGCAAAATTTAGAAAGTGGTTACTAGGAGCACATTCCACTTTTCATCTAGTGTTTTCATGCCTAGTCCCTTGCCTTTTGTGCATCCGCTCCATAACATATAACTCATAATGCCCTTATTGTTGCAGTTTCTAAATTATCAGTATTTGTTATAATTTCCTCGTTGACCCAAAAGTTAGAACACTTGAAATATTCCAAGTATGTTATTTTTCAAGCACTTAAACTTAGTTCCTAGGCTTTTTTGCAACGTGATCATTTATGCTTTCTAGAAATGTATTATTAAAGTTTTCTCTGTACCCTAATATGAGGTCATTAAGAAATGTTTCAGGATAATTTGAAAAGCACACACACCTCCGAACTATTTAACTACTCCTTAACTATCTTCACTTTTCATTTAATTGATTTTATAAAGAGCATAAGTATTGAAGTCACAGTCCAACAATTTTTGCCATGTGTATTCTCTTTAATTGAAGGATTACTTTATTAACACATAAAATGCACCAATTTTAAATGCACCATTTTTAAAACATACATTCATCAGTAAAACTACCACTCACATCAACAGAACATTTTACATATGAATGGCATGTTATTTACCTCATGAAGCCTCTTAAATGTTACAACCTGTACTCTATGTTTTATAAACGTTATAGTTTGAGTTGTCTAATAAAAATATTGCTCCCTACTTCTATTTCCATGACTTATGGTTTCCGTAATCTTTAAACATTTATCCTTTGTTTTATACAAATGTGAGTATCCAGGGTTAGAGATTGATCTTTGACCCAATTTTAATCTTTTTAATAGAAATATTTAACCAGTTTATGAGTGTGGTAACTACCTGTACCTCTGCCAATCTATTTTATGCTGATTTTAATGCTTCCTTGGTGTTTTTCACTACTTCCTCTCCAATCCAAAAAATCGGAATATATATTCTATTTTTATTTGCAACACATCTCATTGTAACTTATTTACAATGAGCTACTACATGAAGCAGTAGGTATTGATTTCCTATAGGCAAGGCACATGCAAAATAAGGTTTTAATCCACTACCTCCTCAATGAGTGATTTGGAAATTTCTTTTTACACTACCAGGATTACCATTACAGACAAATTTGCCCCTCTCCCCCAATAATTAAAAATAGGAGAAAAGTCTGAGATCAGCCCGACTTTTGCCCCTCCATAAGTAACCTACTTTCTCCCTCTGGATAGTCATAGAATTTTTTTCTTTATCCTTCCAATTTAAAAATATCAGTAGGATGTATCTGGGTGATGCTTTTTTTTTCATTAAATGTTAATGGTACCCTGCGAGCTTTTTCTATTTGTACATCTAGTTCCCTCTTAAACTCTGGAATATTTTCTTCAATTAGTTCCGTAATTGTACATTGAGCTCCCTTTGTTCTGTCTCCTCTGTTTCAGGAATTGCCATTACGTGTAGATTGTTTATCTCCTGGACAGGCCCTCTAGATTTCTCTTCTTTTCCGTACTTATCCTGACTTCTTTTCTCTTTTTTTTTCCTGCATGCTGCGAAATGTCGTTTTGCGTTAACTTCGGTCATTCGATTCTGTGCCAGATCAGGACTGCACATTTCTGTTATCTCTTGATTCTTTTCAAGCGCCCTGCCAACAGCCTTTATATCACTAAGCACAGGTCCTTAAGCTCCTGTGTTATACGATACTCAATCCTTACTATCTTTTCTGTTTCCACCGCTATATCCGTTTCAAGAAGCAGCATTTTCTCACTTAGCTGTTTTCCTCCGAAACTGCGGTATTACGACCTTGAACATAAAAAAGAGAACTAAATTCCCTA